GTTCCTCATTTATAAGTACAATAAAATCGTGAATTTTTCGTATTAATTGATGGTTTCAAACAAAAACTGAAGAGTTCTCCAAATTACAGGTAGATTATTTAATGATGGCACTAGTTATTTTATTTTATTTTATTTATTTATTTATTTTTAGATCATGCAAACATGTGTCAAAATAATTAAATCTTAATTTGGAGAAATAAATTTCTTTAACTTAACTTAAAAAATAAACTAAAAAGTATATTAAATTGTGTTTTGGATAAACTAATTTCAAGAAAGCAAAACAAAAAAAATTATTTTAATTAATAAAGAGAATCCAGCTCCCGGGTCCAAATAGAAAAGCTTGAAGCTAGCTGTAGTAGTTCATTGAAACCCTAATAAACATTTTATTTTTTTTTTTAAATTTTTTAGGAGGCAATTATGTATGCAAATGTAAATTTAATCTAAAGAAAATAAATAATACAAAATAAACTAGTTAGTGATATATACCGCTAAAATGGTGTTGCAGAAATTGCACTGGACGTAGCAAACGCGTTCGGATGACATCTCCATCGACATTTTTAGTCGAGTCGCCGGTGATCAGCCCTTTATAATATTAATTTCAGTTTTCCTTTACTTAGGACAATTTAAGGTGAAGATAAGAATAAACTTAATGAAATCAAGAAAATAATGAAGAATATATAGAAATTAAAAAAATAACCGCAGCCACAATAGATAGGCAAGAAAGGAGGAAAGGGAAAGACATACAAGGGTCTTATATATATATACCTGTATGGATTGGTGGGGTTGTATTTGTGTATTTGTGTGTGGTGTGTGTTTGTATAGCATTGTAGATAGAATGAAAATAGTTTAGAAAAATGGAGCTTCTTACACAGCTATCGTACCGATCGATGATGCACATACAATTGGGCGAAACCTAATGGATATTTTTATGATTTTTAAATAATAGTATACTAAAATTGATTCCATTACGAATAAATATAAATGATATTTTCAAACTAGCCGTGGAGAGTTCTATTAACCTATTGTTTTTTTTTTTTTTTTTT